ATGAGCTGTTGATTCCAGGTTCCATTCGTTAACTTAGTTACAGATTAGCCAGATGATTATGTATGCCACCACTGTATCAAGATAAACATCCCCATACAACGTCCCATACAAGGTCCCCTACGAGCGAGGTCTCAGCAACCCCGAGTGACTCGAGAGACCGACCGAGGAAGTTCCCATCGTTATTTGAACCCTCGAGCCCTCCAACCCTCCCAAGACCCAAGACCCAAGACTCAAGACCCCGAAGACGCTCCTCGGCCTCCAAAATGCAGGCCAATAAATCCACAAAGGCCTCCATCTTTGCGCCCAAGCCGACATCGCGGCCGCCCCCAGATACGATCCCCTCCTCGTCGACGGCCTTCGGCACCCCGGCCCACACGCCCCGACCGTTCGCCCCGCCCGTCACGAAGGCGACCATCCTGCCCATCCTCCTCCCGCCCGCGACCCTGCGGCCGCTGGCGTTCCGGACCTTCACCAAGAAGCACAGCCTGACGCTGACCTCGTCGGCGCTGCAGGAGCTCGCGGCCTTCATCGGCCGGCACTGCGGCTCGGCATGGCGCGAGGAGGGCCTGGCCGAGAAGGTGCTGGAGGAGGTGGCCAAGGGCTGGAAGAACCGCAACGGCGGCGTCATCGTGGACGGCGCCAGCAGCGAGCTCAAGGACATCCTGAAGGCCCTCGAGGGCAACATGAGCGGCGGCCGCATCGTCGCCGGCCGCGAGCTCGGCCGCCAGAACAGCCTGGTCCTGGAGCCGGCGCAGGAGGCCGACCTGTCCAACACGAGGCTGGGCTTGCGGCCGCTGACCCATCTCACCCGCGAGGACAGCGCGACAAGCTTCGGCATGTCAGGACTTGGCGTCGAAGAGGAGGAGGCCGACGACGAGGGGCTGAACGATCCCAGGAAGTGGCTGAAAGTTATAAGTGCGTATGACCAGCCACGCATGGTGTACAACGTCGCGAAGAAGCATTTTGAAAGGTATATATATACTCGTCAATTCTAGGCTCATGTGTGTTGTATGTCAACGAGAAGCTAATAAAACAATACATGCAGGGACTCTTCTAAACCATCAATAATGCCGCCGGCGTCACACAAAACAGCCCTGTTCAGGAATAGATACAACGTCATACACCAGCGGCTCCTCCGAAACGAATCTTTCCAAAGCTCGGCGGTCGCGAGTACCAAGGGCCCCCCCTCCCTGAAGCGATCTGCCTCATCCGGGCTAACGAATCAACAAACCCACAAGATCACGCCCATAGCCAACCTGCTCGGCCGCCACGGCAGCCACCACATGCTGCTTGGGCTCCTCTCGATCCTGCCGACGGGGGACCTGGCCATCAGCGACCTCACGGGGACCATCGCGCTGGACCTGCGGCAGGCGGTGGCCATCCCCGAGGACTCGGCCTGGTTCACGCCGGGCATGATCGTGCTCGCGGACGGCGTGTACGAGGAGGAGGAAGAGTCGACGGGCAAGGGCCTCGGCGGGAGCAGCGGCGTCGGCGGCCTGATCGGGGGCCGGTTCCAGGGCTTCTTCGTCGGGCAGCCGCCGTGCGAGAAGCGCCGGGCCACGCTCGGCATCAGCGGCCCCGACGGCGGGCCGGACCACACCATAGGGGGCGGGTTCGGCTGGATCGACTTCCTGGGCGTGGGCAGCGAGCGCGCGTCGGGCGCGCGCATGCGCAAGCTCGAGCAGCGCATCCTGCACCATCATCATCATCACCCGCCACGACGGCAACAACAGCAACAACAATCATTACTACCGAGCTCGGACGCCGACGGCGGCCACGCGACCACCATCAACGCCATCGCCGCCGACCTCCCGAGCCGCGGCCGCGTCGTCCTCGTCGGCGAGCTGAACCTCGACCAGCCGCGGGCGCTCGAGGCGCTGCGCAAGATCCTGGCGGCGTACGCCACGGAGCCCGAGGGCCGCAGCCCCATGGCGTTCGTGCTGGCGGGCAGCTTCACGCGGCACGCGGTCATGGCGGCGTCCCACGGCGGCGGGGGCGGTGGGGGGAACGGCAGCGTCGAGTACAAGGAGCACTTCGACGCCCTGGCGTCGGTGCTGTCGGACTTCCCGACGCTGCTGCAGTCGGCCACCTTCGCCTTCGTGCCGGGCGACAACGACGGCTGGGCGTCGGCCTTCGGCGCCGGCGCCGCCGTGCCGCTGCCCCGCGCCCCCGTCCCCGACCTGTTCACGAGCCGCGTCCGCAGGGCGTTCGCTTCGGCGAATGCGGAGCTTGGCGTTAGGGAGAAGGAGAGGGAAAAGGAAGGTGGTGCTGGTAGTGGTGCCAGTGCTAGTGGTGGTGAGGCGATCTGGACTACCAACCCGGCCCGCATCTCGGTCTTCGGCCCCGCGCACGAGATCGTCGTCTTCCGGGACGACATGGCGGCGCGCATGCGGCGGCACGCCGTGCGTCTCAAGTCATCTGAGCGAGACGAGGAGGAGGGCGACGGCGACGAAGAAGATGACGGCGCTGTCGATGCAAACCACATCGACGACGACGAAAGGCGAGCTGCTGCCAACGATCACGATGCCATGGAGGTCGACGACGAAGGCCATGCTGCCGCCAAGGCCAAACCGGCCAGGGCAAGGGCAAGGGCGAGGGAGGGAGGAGGAGAAGCGCCGCTGTCGCACGACGTGCGCACGGCGCGGCGGCTCGTCAAGACGCTGCTGGACCAGGGGTACCTGGCGCCGTTCCGGGACGCGGCCGTGCGGCCGGTGCTCTGGGACCGCGCCGCGGCCCTGCACCTGTACCCGCTGCCGACGGCGCTGATGCTCGTCGACCCGACCGCGCCCCCCTTCTGCCTCACGTACGAGGGCTGCCACGTCATGAACCCCGGCGCGGTCCTCGTGCCGAGCCGCCGCGGCGTCGCGCGCTGGGTCGAGTACGAGCTGGGCCGGGCGGGGCGGGTGAGGGAGTGCTTGTTTTGAGCCTTCTCTTGTCAGTCCGTTTGAGACTGGGCAGGGAGGGGGAGGGAGGCAATGGTCCAAAGACATGCATGCATGCTTCTTGTTATGTAGGCGGGTTTGCATATATGCATTGCATTCCTGATACGATATGATCAGGCGTTGATTGATGAAGACGAGGTTATATAGGTATGCATCACGTATTATATACAACACATACTTCGTAGCGTTGTTTACAAGCACCGCCTGTACCATGGGTATCCGAAGCTTTCCTGTCGGCCAGAACCAACATGAAGTTTGGCATCGATGCATCCAATATCTGACCACCTACATACACCTAAATTCGAGTCTCCTGAAGTCATGAGCAAACATCGTTCGCAGCAACGCCTACCTACATGTATAGATGCGGTCCAACAAGAATCTTGATTGTGCTAGAATGATCCTGCTGGCAAATAACAGGGTCCGAGGTATCTAAGGGAGCTGCTAGGTACCTAAATAATGACGGAATTCTATAGGGAGCCCTATTAAAACCAGGTATGGAAGGGCTTGGCCCATTATGTAACTTCATGTAAGTACGAAGTAAATGATATAAGAATGGTGAGTGATCTCAGCAGGATTTACGAAGTGGTGGCAGAGTCAAAAAGTAGGGAAGTGGCAACCCATGATTGACAGAGTATTAGGTACACAACAGAGCCTCAAACTACCTATATAGACAGGTTACTGATAATGCAACATCGTGAGGAATCCAGCTTTGTTTCTTGCTTAACCATGGCAGCTATTGCTATTTCCCTTTTCTATTGGATTGGCATTTATACATGGCTTGTTTACCTTATTGAGAGGAGATACGTCTTGTTAATAAGGTTAATTTCCTATCAAAAGGGTAAACTGAGTTCGATATATATGGCTTGATTCTATGTGTCTTATAAACGACCAATTAAAGAGAATGCAGAACAAGAAACGCAAAAGCACAGTCTTAAGCAACTTGGTTATCATGTTTTAAGTCCCTTGTAAATTGTCTTGATTATATACACATGACCCAGAGCCTTGCAAACCTGAAGCCGTATGATAATGACTTGGGGACCAAGACATTATATCGAACAACCTTAGGATCTGATATTAGCTGAATAGGACATCGTATAACTTACAGTCTGATGGGACTGGCTTTGACAAGTCTACATACCTAGAATGTACCTCGCCCCTTATGTTATCTTCCGGCTCCATTGTTCACATATAGGGGCAAGCCCACATTTAATGGAACGTCATTATGGTGCACACTTCGCAGAGCCCGACCAATGAATATGGTTAGGGCTAGGTCTTTCTAGATTCATGGTTTCTAGGTAGTTAGCTTATGTCAGAAATAAATCGTAAATCACTGTTTGATATAGTACGCATATGTGATGATACCTATTGGATATATTTGCGCTTTACTGGAGATGTATTTGGTTAAGCTGTATAGGTTGAGGGTAATAGGTTGGGGGCACTAAGCCCCTGTTATACATTGTTAATGAATGGTCGATTTACACTTATGTTAATGCTATGAATGCAAATCCTAGACAGGCTTTAAACCTAGATGTTAGAGTAGAGATGAACATAGAGTATGCGTTATATGATAGGAAGTGATCCGTTATCCGATAATTTCCGGACACAGGTAAGTGGTCGCCAAGACATGAATTAGCACGCTCCTTCACTATCCAGGCAGCTGCCAGGTATCATGCACAGCATGCAGAAGCTCCCTGCACAATAGACCTTGAAGTATTCTAATTTGAAAGCGCTTGAAGCGCTTGTTTTCTTGACTGAATTGGTTTGGCAACGCAGTGACAAGTTAAGTTACTGTTCAGATAAAGCACCTTTAGGTAGCTCTTATCTTGACTGGTATCTTCCTCGAATATGAGCCCGAGCCCCTTAGCTGCATGCCGCGGCACTTGCCTAAATAGTGTGCCCCCAGTTTCTTAGCGGAACAAGAGAAATCCCGAGAATTCCAAGGCACTGCAGGTGCCCGTTACCATGGTAGCCCAGCCCCTCACTAACGATAATTACCAGGATAAGAGCGAAAAATTTCACAAGCTCACTCAGTTCCAGCTGTAGCGTGCTACTTTAGGATCACCTCTGGCGCAATGGCAGCGTGCTACTTTCCGGTTCGCCTTGGAATTCTTACCTCGGTAGGAGTAACAAGAGATTCGTGCATGGTAGAGGCTCTCGGTTCGAGTCCGGGGAGGTGAGCTCCTTCCTTTTTGGCAATTTCTCTGTTCATTTCTGTCAATCAATCCAAGTTCTTTTGCACTGTTGGTTCATCATCTAGTTTGTTGTCGACGATGTTGCATTGTCTATAACCCCCTATATAGTTTGAGGCTCTGTTGTTTACCTAATACCCTGTCAATCGTGGGTTGTGACTTCCCTACTTTTTGACTCTGCCACCATTCATAGACCCTGCTTACATCATCCACCAACCTTAAATTATCTACCCTTAAATTATCTACAACATCTATGTGGTGGGCCAAACCTTTCAATGACCCCTTTTGATAGGTCTCCCTAAGTAGAGATTGTTTACCTTGATATTTACCAGCAGGATCACTTTGCCACGATCAGGGTGCTTTTTTGACTGCGGCTACACATGTAGGCATTGCTGCGAACTATGTTTATCCATGACTTTAGATGTATGTAGGTAGCTTGAATGCATCGATGCTGATTCTGGCCGACAGGAAAGACGTCCATAATGCAGGTGGTGTTTGTTTCATTGATGCGCCATATGATGCGCCATATGATGGTGTCGTAACATCTTAGTTGATTTGATTTAGCAACTCTAGTAGTGTTATCGCTGGTGAGGGGCTGAGCTAGGCGGGTGGGTAGGTACCTGTAGGTATCTAGGTAGATTACCAGTGCCTCGGGATTTCCCTTGTTCCGCCAAGAAAGCCCACATTAGGTCAGGCTTCTCAAGGTGCTTTGTCTGAAATTCTCTGAATGGTTTAACCAACTTGTGACATTGTTTCCAAGTCCAGCCAGTGCAGAAAACAAGCGCTTTCAAATCAGGATACTTCAGGCCTATGGTGCAGGAAATGGTGCAGCAAGAGCTTCTGCATGATACCTGGCTAGATAGTACCTAATGAAGCGAGCGTGCGAACCCATATCTTGACCATCCTTACTTAGCTGTGTTCGGAGCCGGGAGAACCTTCCTGTCAAACATCATCTATAACATCATATAAGAGGTGAGATTCATTCGAGACATACCTACGAGATCAGAACCACCCCTCCCATTGGGCTACAACTTGCACAGATTCCTATTCAGCCAATATCTAACCGATTCTCAAGTCACTGCGATGAGGTTCCAGGTTTCCAAGGCTCTGGATCATATAAATATATATAATCATGACAATCTATAAACGTGACGTGACGGAGAACAAGATATACAAGTTGCTCAGCACTGTGCCTTCATCCATCTTATCCTGCATCTTTCCTGGCGCAACAATTACTGGTCATGTATAAGGCACATAGGCTCAAGCCACATTCATCGAAGCCCATACTGTGAGTCTCACTAGGTGCATGTTGCTTGTAGACCATACTTCCACAGACGTACTAGGGTGTAGCTATTCTGCTCATACTTATCAAGGCAAATGATGCGAAATTGGCCTTAATGGCGAAGAATCGTTCTCTCCCAGTAAGATACAGAAACTCCGCGGAAATGCTAACTCAATAAGAGGATAAGGTAGTAATATTTGCCATCGTCGAGCAGGAAACAAGGCTGGATTCTTCGGTTTTGCTTCGTTTTCTTGCTGTCATTAACCATACGTCCATGACATGCTGTAGGAAGAAGACCTTGGTTCTCTCCCGGCAATCATGTTAACATGCCCCAAATTTTGTGCCATGCTTCTCAGCTGCGAAGCATGACTTCACTTATGGCATATTCATATCACTTACTTGGTACTTAGATATTGGCCTTATTGTCAAATAGATGCTATGCCATATATATGACTGCGCATAGCTTCACTGGGTTTTGCAATTATACGGGAATACCATAATATCCTCAATGTGAAACGCCTAGTGATTAGTGGCAGGTAGGTTGGACGGACTCGGACGGCCGATGAAAAGCCTGCTCAAAGCACCAAGGTCACAGCGTTCAGGGGTTTGCGCAAAGTCCCCGATTGAGCTCCACTCCTCACGGACAAAGTCATATAACTAAGACCTCATCCGGTGGCTTCATGTGGGATTTTCATTCAAGGCGCCGGATAGGTCCCATCTATTCTGCTTCTCCAGTTGTGCCTTCCGCTAGAGGATGCCTCTCAGTTTCTGCTGGCCCAACATCATGCGCCTCGTGATTTGCCTATGAGCTCGCTACGTAGCTGTTGCAGGGGACACCCAACGGAGTAGCAACATGTGTATGCAAGAACCAAGCTGTAACCTGGAATTCCGGACATACTGCAGCCGTGCTAGGATAGAAGCCGGGATAGAAGCTCCAGTTGGTTTATGTATCAATGCAAACATAAGGGTGATTATAACACGAGGATCATGTAAATACCGGAGAGTCTTTCCACATACGAAGTAGTGTGCAGGAATCCTGACCTTACATGTTGACGTGTCATCTCGATCTTGATAAGTGCTAACAACCTGACAGACCCTCTTGAGTACGGTATTCAGTCCCATTCCGAGCTTAGAATCGTTGCAATAGTAACACCAAGGCTCCGCCAAGGTCGGGAGAGCGACATCAACTAGCCGTCATGGTATCCTCTACCCGAACATTGACATGGGAGTTCCCCGCATGGTGCTCTGAATAGTCAGGGCTTTATCGTTACATGTTACATATATGAGCTGTTGAAGACGTTGATGGGATAGTAGTCGATATGATCGGCTAGATATGTAAGTAGAAGCTCCTTCTTGCCGTATCCACGAAAGCCTGCAAGGAGCAAGGTACATACAAGGAACCATTGGGCAGATTATGCCCCGGATCAAGATTTTTCTGCTCTGGTTTTACTTTAAGCGCCATTGTCGACGTTATTCACCTTGTTTTCCTCCTGATCGTCGTCAGGCATTGAATGCTCCATAGGCCAGAGTGTTTGTTGATACTCCGCCCTCGAACAGCACCTCGATGAACAGGGCAACTTTTTGCGTCATATTGTATAGCGGTGAGCACTTCCTAAGGCATTTGGTGAAGTCACGAATTCTGGTAAGGGTCTTGAGGTTGTGGGGATTCTGCAGAATGCTTGCTCATAGACCTTCACAGGGATGTGCAAATAACCTAATACAACTGGTCTTCCTACTGGAAAAGATCAGCGGCACTCTAAGAAACTCCATGATCATAAGCCTACCCCTACAAAGATGGTCACTGAGTGTGTCACCGAGGCCTGTGATTTCCAGGGGACTGGATTTTGGTAACGGGCCCCATGTCTAAGAACACTGGAAGCAGACACCTAGAGTATATTAGTTGCTTTTACAGCACGGCCATACCATGAATCTGTTGACGCTAGCAGTATCCCCTGTTGCTATAAGGGGGACAGACTGTAAATGAAAGCCCGAATAATACCTATTTGCCAGGCTTTTCTCCTGCAATACCAATATGTACATAAAGCATATATCAGATAGCAAAACTAACGATTATGCGGTATTGTGAAGGAAGCTGTTTGCCATAGACTGCAATGATACATAGTCAATCTAGTAGGCGCTCTTTACTGTGTACATCAAAGACAGAAGATGTTCAGTACCGCCATATGGTGAGAATGATGTATGTTCCTGGGTAGAAATGGGAAACGGTCATGGCTAAAATAGATGTTATTGGGAAATTCAAAGGGTTTCAGTTATAATTCTCTTCGTACCCCGGGAGATATTCTCGGATCATGGCTTAGCACATATTTTACTGCGAAGATTACACAAATGCCTTTGCCACAGCGTGGTGATAGGGACTAAAACCGGACGATATTCTATTATTATCATTATTCTTTTCATACACGGGTTTGCCCGTTTTTATACTAAATACAGACATATGGCACGCATTAACCTGCGGTTAATATTCCGCGCGGTAAACCGTCTATGCAGACAAGATACACGCGCTGGTCTGGAATGACATATAAAGATGAAAGTGAAGAAAGAAAGAAAAAAAAAAAAAACAGGGG